TTTTCTCCATGATAGCCGACCTTGTTAATGAAACACGGGCAGTAGATAAACTTGTAGCTCTCTTACAGGACTCCTTAATTTTCTCTGCATTGTCCCTAATTGTATGGATAGTTGACTCTCTGAGCCCTGTAGCACACCTAATTTCCTTTGTCTTCTCACCTCTTTCGTATCTCTTCACAACTTCAAGTTTTTCTTCCAAAGTTATAGCTTTTCTTCTCCTTGTAGAGGCAGAAGCACTTGTAGAATCACTATTAGAAGCACTCATCTTGAACACTTAATGAAGTGTAAGGGGTTAAGAAAGCTCTTAACTGAGAGCGTTAAGAGGAGATGCTGCTACCACAATGACAACACCGAGACTGAGCGAGCCTCCAGAATCCTGCTTGGGACCCCAAGCTGCGCGTAACACTGTTTGACTCAGTCTGCGCATCTCGCAAGGCATTCATGTATATACGCAAATGACGCGCATCTTGGGGTGTATTTTTCTGCTTGGGTGTTAATATTAATCCGCATAAACGCAAGATACGAGTAAGTCGAATACACGTAAAATGGGGGTCTACTGTAGTAATCGATGGCTCATGTCTAGCTGGCAGCTGGTAACAAGTGGAGTGACCCAGGGGTCGGTCCTGGGGCTGGTTTTGTTCAATGCCTTCATCAAATATGTGGAAGATGGCATAGAGTGCACCTTCAGCAAGTTTGCAGATGTCACCAAGCTGGAGGAAGTAGTAGATACACTGGAGGGTAGGGCTAGGATTCAGAGTGACTTGGACAAATTGGAGGACTGGACCAAAAGAAATCTCATGAGGTTCAACAAGGACAAGTGCAAAGTCCTGCACTTAGGATTAAACAATCCCATGCACCAGTACAGGCTGGGGGCTGACTGGCTGGGCAGCAGCTCTGCAGAAAAGGACCTGGGGGTTACAGTGGACAATAAGCTGAATATGAGCCAGGAGGGCAATAAAAATAGTGAGGGGGCTGGGGGACATGACTGATAAGGAAAGACTGAGGGAACAGGGCTTATTTAGTCTAAAGAAAAGGAGACTGAGAGGGGACTTAATAGAAGCCTTCAGCTACCTGAAGGGCAGTTCCAAAGAGGATGGAGCTGGACTGTTCTCAGTGGTGGTAGATGACAGAACAAGGAGCAATGGGCTCAAGTTGCAGCAAGGGAAGTTTAGGTTAGATACTAGGAAGAATTTTCTCACTAGGAGGGCAGTAAAACACTTGAGCAGGTTACCCAGAGAGGTGGTAGAAGCTCCATCCTTGGAGGTTTTCAAAACCTGGCTAGACAGAGCTTTGGCTGTGATGATTTAGTTGGGGATAGTCCTGCTTTGAGCAGGGGTTTGACTAGATGTGACCTCCTGAGGTCCCTTCCAATCCTAACTTTCTATGATTCTATGAAGCCCCTGGCATCCCTTCAGCCCTCTTTCTGGGCAATCACCCCGTCAATCACCCACCAGGCACCATGCTTTGATGTCTTTTTACTTTTACAGGAGGGAGGCTGCTCCAGGGCTTCCTAAATTGCTCCCTCAAATAATCACCAGGTGCCTGTGGTCCCTGCTTTATGAGCAAATTGCATAGCTCCATTCCACCCCCACACCATGTCCCATGCCTCGCAGATGGCATCCTCATCAACGTTCTCTTCCACTTAGCCCTTCCCCTGGGGCTCCTGGACCATTGCTGGTCCCACACTCTCAGCCCAATCTGGGCTCCAGACCCCTCCCTGGGACCCTAGAAACCTCCTCTTCCCCTTAATTCCTCCCCAACCTCTGAACTACTTTAGGTGTTACCCTCCATGTTGACCTTCCGAAGCTGCAGCCATCCTGCTAAGGTGGTGTTCTCTCAGCAGGCTCCAAGCTGTTATTACTGGCTCATCTCAGTGGAGACCCATAGGGGTCTGTTCTGGGCCAGGTGCCATTCAACGTGTTTATCTGCAGATGACACAAAAAGCTGGGAAGAACTGAGAACAAGCTGGAGAATAGGAGCCCAATTCAGAAGGATCTTGTTAGACTGGAGAGCTGGGCTAGAGCCAACAGGATGAAATTCAAGGGTGACAAATGCAAGGTGTTACACCTCAGGAAGAATAATCAAAACCACAAATACAAAATGGGAGACAACTGGCTCAATGGCAGCACCATGAGAAGGATCTAGACTTTTTGGTGGATCACAGACTCAATATGATTCTGCAGATTGATGCTACTCAAAAAGGTAAATATGGTTTTGGGCTCCACCTATATGAGCACTAGGTACAAGACATGGGAGGTGATAGTACCTCTTTACTTGACACTCATCTAGAGTATCGTGGGCAGTTTTGGGCTCTACATTTTAAAAAGGACTTGGAGAAGTTAGGGAAGGTCCAGTGGTAGGCAACAAAAATGATAAAGGACTTGGAAGGCTAGTCATACAAGGAGAGGTTGAAAGAAATAGGGATGTCCAGGTTGTTGAAAAGGCAAGTAAAAGGGGATGTGATCGCAGTCTTCAAATATCTGAAAGAAGAGGGAGAATATCTTTTCTCCACTGCTGCAAAGAGCAGGACATGGACTAATGGCCTCAAGCTGCCACCAAGTAGGTTTAGACTGGATATGAGGAAAAGACTTCTTTGCTTTTAGAACAGTGAGGCAGTAGAACAGACTGCCTAGGGAAGTTGTGGAATCTGTCCTTGGAGACGAGCCAGAGGTTGGAAAAGCATTGGTCATGGATGTGCTAGGAGTAGCTATGCTTGGAGTACTCTGTAAAGAACAGGCCTTAGAAGCTCAGGAGCCCTCATCACCAGATTGTTGAGAAATAACGAGTAGATGTCTGTAGCCTAAAGCAGGTGGAAATTGGAGATGACAAGATGATAATGCTCAGCTGTAGGAGAAAGAAGCAGAGCTCCACAACTGGCTTAGTTATGAAAGATTAAAGGAGATGGCATACGATTATGCAGGCGATACAGAAAGGGGAGACAGCCCAACTTGGACTAACTACCCCATTTGCCAAACATGCCAGAGGTTCTGTCTGGCAGCCCCACCCCAGCTGATGAACCAGCTAGCCATTGTTCGAGCTTCCTAATGGGCTGGTGGGGAGACCAGCCTCATCTAGTCCACCTGTGGCAGCAGACTGGAGACCAGCCTGAAGGTCTGCTGTGGCAAGTGTCCTTGGATCCTGTGCTCTCTGGTTTTCTGGCTTCTGACACTGCTCAGCTCTGCCCGGCATCTGGATTCTAGCTTTTGGGAACTCCACTTGGCTTTGGCAACTTGGTCCCTGGCTCCAGAACCCTGACTTGCCCTGTGACTTGGATTCTGCTTCTGGAGTTCCCCCTTGGATGTGGTACCTTTGACTCCAGCACCTGTCTCTACCCATCCCCTGGTGGCCTACTCCTTAAGCAACACTGCCTACGCCTTAGGCATCTTGAGTGGAGGCTGTTCCCTGGTTGCAGATTAGCATGGAGTGTTTAGCATTTTGCATGGTTCTGGGCTTTGCTGGTTGCCACATGAGGCTGGGAATGTTTTCCCTCCTCCTGTTGTTACAAGTATCTGTTTGTGGGGGGGTTGGTCTTCCTCAGAAGCATTTGGTTGCCTACAGCCAAGGCTTAGGATTTTGACTGGGGTGTGCCAATGCTCCTGCTGCAGCTAAAACCCAAAGGTTTCTAACTAGGGGTCTTGCCCCTCCACGCAGGGTCAGATCAAACACTATAACAGGGAGGAATTTTGCCCCATGGTCAGAATGGTACAGACTCTTGCAGGTTTTACCTTCCTATGTGGTTAGGGAGGGGGAGAGGCATGGCTCTTTCCTTGGCTCTCTGGAGCACATTTTAACAACCTTTGCAGCAGCAAGCACTGACCATCGTTGTTCCCCTGCTTTACCTCTGGCAAGTTAGGGTGTCATGCCTTGCAGCCATGTGACAGGATTGATTGCGTTAGGTTAGACCAGGATCTGTACAGGATGGTTTGGACAAGCATGATCCTGCCTCAGGCAGGCAGAGGGTTGGATTTGATGACCTCCAGAGGTTTCTTCCAGCCCTACTTCTCTCTGATTCTCTGAAGGAGGCTTTCTGCTGTGCCTGCCCCAGTCACACATTTCAAAACAGGCAGATGGTTACAATAAAGTACTCTTGGTTCCCACCAGCACGGTGTCCTCGCAGCGATGTGCCTCTGCACAGCTGTCAAACTTCCACAGCTTTTATGGACGTACTTCTCAGAGTGCCCTGCAGATAGCATCCTTTCCAAAGGGGCTAGATGGGCCCCAAGACATGGGAATTGTTCAGGATTTTGCTCAAATTACCTAAAAGGTTCATCTACCAACCATCCCAGCAAGGTGGCTGCCAACACCCCCAGGGTAAGGTCATAATGGGAATAAAATGAAACTCTTTTAGCAACTCTAGATTGAGTGACTGTATTAGAAATGGCTCCAACAGCCTCTGCTGGCAGCCTCTTGTTGGGAAATGCTGGCTTGCCTCAGGTACAAGATGCTCTACATGTCTGACTTGCACCTGTCATTTCAGCTGAGATTAGAGCTAGTCACAATTTGCCTAAGTGAACTTTTTCTCCTG